CTCCCTCCCTCTCTCTCTCTCTCTCTCTCTCTCTCTCTCTCTCTCTCTCTCTTTGGAGCTGAGGACCGAACCCAGGGCCTTGCGCTTGCTAGGCAAGCGCTCTACCACTGAGCTAAATCCCCAACCCAAGAACACGTTCTCATCTATCTTTCAGCCCAGTAACTCTACAGCTCAGTCTGTCTGAAGCCTTCTAGATACATGTGCTACTTAAGAGTGCTCCCAAATTATGTCGGGACATGAGTTTTTCTGAATAATTATAATACCATGTATGGAGACAAGAACTGGAGGAAAAAACTGTTAGAAAATGACTGTTTTCTGTCTGCCCGAAGAGTAGGTTATAAATAAACATTTCCAGATCTATGAAATGATTTGCAACTATTTCTCTTCCTAAGCTGCCTACAACTACTACCGAAACTAATTTATTAATTCCAAAGCATTTTAAAAGTATTGTACTGTTTAAATACTATTAATAATGAGGAAATGGCTAAAATAGAATGCTGACTGTATTAATTGCATGGATGGTGTATTGTACATGTCATTCAGAGGAGTCTGTAGGCTCCAGCATAAAGGCAAATGGCTTGTTGGTTTTATTTCTTCCTTTCTTGCTATCTTTTTATGTGTTTAATTTGCTGTCTAGTTAATGTCTATTCTATATTAGGTCATCATCAATAGCAGTAGCCCACTTTGAAATGTACAAATTACATGAAGTCAGTTTTGAAATGTCTCTGTGTTTGGAGCGCCTGATGATGTTTTCCTTGTCTCTCTGTCGCAGCACACAGCACACCAGTTGATATGCCAAGCAGAGGCCAGAGTGAAGACAGGGACAGTGGCATCGCTCGATCAGGTACTGCCTTCTACCTCCTGTTTAAGTAAAGTGGTGGGCTGTCTGTAATGCCAGGTAGGAAACAGAAGGGTAGCCCTCAACTCTCTGTCCCTCCTCCTTTTCTCCTTTTCCTTTTCTCTATATTCTAAGTCTCGTGTGTCTGAGGACCTGCTACTTTGAAGTTCATCACCATCCAGCAATGGTTGTGCACACAAGCTAGTTTTCTCTAATACTCAGATTGATATGAGGCTGATAAATTTCTTCAGCAGGAAGCTTCCTTGTGCCAGTTGTACTAGGAGTTTGCTTGCTGACTGCTCCAGTCAGGATGGAACAGGCTTGTGGTGGTCAGTCTACCTATGACCGTGGGAGGTGCCACCACCCTTTCTGTCCTGGGATGCTGATCTAGAATACATCTCAGGTGCCCGTCTCTGCTCACTCGGAGCCCTGACCTTGCCTAATCCTGCCTCTAAGACCCCTCGGTTTCTGCTTTTCTGCACAAGTCAGCTTTTGATGTTTAATTTGTGGTTCGGATCTGAGGTTAGTTCCATGGTTCAAGGACCAGGAGGCCTACAGGCAGCCTTCCATTGAGAACCAGGAGTGTTGTGTCCTACGGTGACATGAGACTCCTTTACTGGGGGCCCTTCAGCTGAGTGACGTATCTTTCCTCCTCTCTTTTCACCCATTTGTTACGTGCTGTAGCTCCCAGATTCCTCCTTAAAAGTCCTGGGTTCTTTCTGGGTGGAATCAGGGCCTGTTCAACTCTGTTCCCCGAGTCACTAATGAAATGCAGCAGCTGCTGAATTTCCTCGTTTGGTTTGTATATGTGTTATTAGTCCAGAGTATTTACTTATGGTTAAAATGGGTCCATTTTGGTTCTTCCCATCATTTCTGTGAAGTTGGTCAGAAATGTGACTTTCATTGATTCAACCTGTGCCATTTCACTGAGTACAAGCAAAATCTGAAAAGATGCAAGATCATATGTAGTTGCATTTGGTGGCATACAGCACCTTGAATCCTAGTATTCTGGAGGCAGAGGCAGGCAGATAGGTCTCTGTGACTTTGAGGACATCCAGGATTGCATACTGAGACCCCCCCCCCCATCTCAACAGTGAACTACATTTGTTTATACTTCATGTTGCTCAGGACAGTTTCATCCTTCCTTATGATGTCCCTGCCTGCTGAACTTTTGAGTTCCATGAGTTACTCAAAGCCTCTGTCTGCATGCATTAAGAAGCATAGAGTCTTGGGGCTCAGTCCCTGCCCTGTGGCCCGTGTGGGCAGGACTGGCTAGAGCTGGCTTTGGTATGATTGATTTTCAAAGCAAAAAGGAAAAGATCCGTCATTGGGATGGGAGTGAGGAGCACAACCCCAAATGAGTGAGTCTTGGTCGAAATCGCTGCCGGCGCGGTAGTTAGATAGGCCCTGCTCTGCTTGGCGCTGTGTGGCCTCCTTCCCACTGGGGCAGAGTGGGCGAGTGGCACCCTACCAGGCTCCCCAAAGTGCTCAGTTTCTTTGCTGATGCAGCTTCGTGCTGTTTATGCCCCTTTTTGTTCCGATTAGAGACTGCAGTTTTGAGAGAACTGACATCAACAGAAACATTACTAGGATGAAGTTAGGATTTTCCTGGTTCGTTTGCAAGTCAGCATCTCATGTGTTTGATATTCCTTGGGTTTTAAATTGCTTCTGTAACTGCTTTTCCTTGTCTTTTGAGAAGCAGGTAATTGAGGGTCCCTGTTCACATGAAATGCACGAATCTGTGGCAGCTAGATCCCGTAGTTTCCTCAAAGCCCACGAAGGGAACTTGCAGCTGACAAGTGGGGTTTTGAGAGTTGGAGAAGACTTTGTCGGAGGCTTTGAAAATCTCTTTGAGCTTGTGGGTCCCCATGAGCAAGGGCTGACTGTGCCCTCTTGTGTAGTGACATTTTGTTTCACTTGCTATCCTGGTATATATGCCCAAGGTACTCTCTGCTCACAGCCGGGAGCTCCTCTGCCATCTCCCAGTCTGAGTTGAGTGCACAGTCCTACCTGTAGAAGGGACTTGGTGTTCTTTCAGCATAGACTCTCCAGGTTCCTACAGTATTTAGTCTCTAAGAGTTTTTTCTCTTGGGCCAAACCTAATGGTGCATGTCTGTAGCCCCACTACTCAGCCTCGGTTTCAGGCCAGCCTCAGTTACAAAAGGAATATTTTCTTTATTATCTTTATTGTCCACCTTATGATCCTAAGATCCCGGGCTGGAGAAATGGCTCAGTGCTTAAGAGCCTGACTGTTCTTCTAGAGGACTGGGGTTCAATTCTCAGCATCCACATGTGGCTCACAACTGTGTGTAACTCCAGTTCTAGGGGGATTATAAACCTTCTTTTGGCAGACGCCAGGCACACATGTGGTACACAAACATATGTAGACAAAGCACCTACACACATTAAATAAAAATAAATAAATCTTAAAAAAAAAAGAAACCTAGGCTGTCAGTTCTGAAGCAAAATTGGGATTGCCTTGTGTCTGAGATTCTTGCTGTTGTCTTTTTTTAAAAAATTATTTTATGTGTATGAGTATGTTGCTTTCATGTGTGTCTGTGCTCCACATGCATGCTTGTTACCTACAGAGGCCAGAAGAGTGTGTTGGACCCCCTGGAACTGGAGTTAATTAACAGGCAGTTGTGAGCTGCCATGTGTGTGTGTTGGGACTCAAACCTGGGTCCTCTGGAAGAACGGGTTCTCTTAACTGCCGAGCCGTCTTTCTAGCCCTTCTTTGTTTTTATCAGTAGAAAAACAATTAAAGACATTGTTTTCTTCTAGTTCCCAATTTTTAATTCTGTCTGGAATTAAAGAGGTAATCTTTTAAAATATGTTTTACATTTTGGAGCAATTTTAAGGTTTATAGAAAAGCTGGGACAGCCGCACCGAGTGTTTCCTGCAGCCACCCCAGTTCACTCTGTTCACATCTGCTGTTAGTTTGCACATTGAAGACAATTAGCGGCTCATAGTCATTAGCTAACTTTGATCTTATAACACTTTGCTTGGTTTTCCCCTAATGCCTTCTTACGCTGCAAGAACACAGTACATTTGGCTGTCATGTCTGGGCAGACTTTGTTATGTTTGTTTTTGAAATAGGATCTCTCTGCATAGTCCTGGCTGTCATGGAACTCACTATGTAGACCAGACTTGCCTTGAACTTACAGAGATCCACTTGTTTCTGCACAATCATGCTCAGCTCTTCAGATTTTTTTTTCCCTCAGACCTTCTTTGTTTTTAATAATCATCATCGTTTTTAGTATTGGTTCCACTATTTGAATATGCTTGATGGGTTTCTCATGATTAAACTGTGGTTGTGGATTTGAGCTGGATAACCACCAAGGTAACCTACCGTCCTGCTCACATGGTGTGAAGGGTATGAACTTGCAACATGATTTATGAACACAGTCACTGGCCTTGTTTACTAACGAGGTTGCACTGACTAGGTTTCCTCATTGTAAGGTTGATTCCTCTTGACGTTTGTGCACCTTGCTTACCCTTCACTTGAGATGGGCTCCCTCTCCTTGAGGAGCAAGAGTTGGCATAAACACTTTGAAATTTTCAGCATGGGCATTGTGTTTGTTTTTTTCATTTTTTAACTTACACTTGGCTATTATTTCAATATGGACTCAGGGATATTGATTTCTCACTTTGGATCATAATCCACTAATGCTTATATTTGCCTAAATTGCCTGGCTTTACCCCTGGGAGCACCTGTGACGCCAGTGACAGTCCTTTCACACATCCGGGGGCAGCAGGTGAGGGGAGCTCTGGCACCCCTCTTCTGACCCTACTCCCCAGTCCTCGGGAATTTGCTATCCCAGCCCTCTAGTTGGAGCTTTCATGGATCGTAGATGGTCTCTGGAGGGCAGCCCTGGTCTCTTGAGGATGTTCTGAAAATGTCTTCTGTGTCTATATATAAAGTAAAAGCTAATTTAGAAAATTATGTTTGAAACAGGATCTCATTACGTTGTTGATCTGTTTGGCTTTTAACTCACTCTATAACCCAGGCAGGCCTTGAATTTGTGATCCTCCTACCTCAGCCTTGCTGAGATGACAGGCCTACACTGTCACAGCCAGAAAGGTAATTGGTAAGAGGGGGATTGTAATGGCTACTGCTAGAATTTTCAAGTAAGGGGGCAAGAGAGGTGGCTCGTTCCGTAACATACTTACTGCAGAAGCGTGAAGCCCCGAGTTCAACTCTCCTTGGTCCTCATAAGGTCTGGACGTGATGGTGCTCATCTAGAATCCCAGTGCTCCTATGATGAGATGGGCAGTGGTGACAGGAAGATCCACAGAGGTTTGTGCATCAGCTGGCCTGGCATGTGCAGCAGTGAATACAAGAGACCCTGTCTCAAACTTTTATGAAAAATGAGTACCAACAAACTCTGACTTCCACAGGTGCTGTACATGCACGCGCGCGCGCGCACACACACACACACACACACACACACACACACACACACACACACACACGCTCACAATTTTAAAAAGAAAGTTTCGAGTAAGGCCTTGGAGAGAAGAGGACACCGGGAGTAGACGTATAGGAAGTAGCATGCGGGACTTGGCGACTTGTCGGCACAGGGGTTGGTTACAAGGGGGGAGGGTGGAACCATGCACAGGTCTCTGGTTTCTGACTTGAGAAATAAGTAGAGGAAGACAAAATTAACCAGTGTAAGGGGAGCATGAGGCCAGCAAGGGAGACAGATAGAAGATGTGTGTTTTTACTGGAACTGTCCCCGAATTCTCAGTTGTGAATCTCCTGCTGCATTTAAGGTAAGAAGCTGGCTTGACAGGGATGGGTCAGAGCAGAGGCTAAAATCTGGTAGTCTTGAGTACACACGTAGTGAGCCGTGTAAGGTTTATAGGGCTGGGGTTGACACTGGTCTCTTTGGGCTAGTTTAGAGGTAGGCTCTCTCCCTCGTCAGTCTTCATCTTTGGTAAGAAAGACAACTTCCCCATTCTCTCTGTAACGATGTTTCCTCTGTCCTTAAGGTGACCAGTATGAG